GAGATATCGTGCTTTTGTCTCTTATTCTTTTGTACAAGCGGCGTGCGCAGTTTAGTTATGCATTAGTGATTTTAATACGGCACCATAGGGACCTAACTCAAATGTCAAGTCTCAAGGGTGTACGTCAAGGATTTAATTTACAATATTAACTTTCTGCTTATTGCATTTCTTTTTCCTCTCAGTATAATTATAGAGTAATATTTTTACTCGAATTTGACATATTTGTATTGAGGTTTTTGTCTGCTTGATGAGGGTAGGTTAACACGAACTCATTGGTTTGGTATGGGCGATTTATTCGGAGAGTTGAAATCGAAGAAATGTTTGTTTGTGTTCATGCTAAAGATGCTCTTTTTTCGGGTTGATGACGTCTGATCACTGCCACTTCAAGTCATTGTCTTTTAATAATGGGAATGAACTTTCCTACAATGTTAACACTTCAGCTATTACACGTAGTAAGATCAAAGTCGTTCGCTTCATTTACACAATAAAATTACTCGTTGTTTCTAGTATCTGTTGTTATTTACAACTTTACCAGCTAAGATCACGCTTGCGTATTAACTTATCAAGGGAGGCAACTCGATAACGTCACTAGGTTACAAATGTATAAACCGTTAAGGGGGCCCGTGCGGTCCATCTGACACATACTGATAAGGCTGCATCATACAAAAAGAAAACAGAGAGATCAATTGATATGTTTTATTTTAATTCTCCAAATACATAATGAGTAATATTTTAATCTTGTCAAGTGCTTTTATAGATCATTATATTTACTATTGTGTTATATGACGAGACATTTCCATTCCTTAGCAAAATACAATAAAAGGACTTGTCCAAGTCTAACAAACATATAAATATCAGCTGGTGATGTCATACGGCACATAATGAAAGACCTCGCGCAAATGGCGAGAGATGGCGAGATGTCGACAATATCAAATATGTGGAAATTACAAACAGATATCCGAATCACTGCTGGCTCGAAAGCATGCAGATCCAAATAGAAATGTTTTAAAATTTGTACTAAAAAGATCTCTGATGAAGGTTAGTGGTTGTACTAACATTAATCAGATGCCATCACTTCCTCTGTTTATTTTGTAAGGCGATTATTGTAACTAGGAGTAACAACGAAAACGTGGACATTTGGAATTACACAAAAAACACGATATAACTTTTCTTTTTTTAATGTACGGAAATAAATTCTCGGACATTTTCCGGCTGTTGTGATATTCAGATACACATTGAACATTATGTAACAATATAGTACGATATTTCCACAAACGGAAACTGCCAATCCCGCAGATCTTAATAACGCATTTGAATTAGGAGTAGTGAATCGACATCACTGGTATCGTTTGTATCTAGAATGGAATATGAACATTAACAATGAAACATACCAGTCCATATCCACATATGTGTCTACATCTTAAATGTATTTTCGTGGCATATGAGATTTAATGGAGCGATACTTGGATGTTTTTATTTTTGCGAGCCTTTGTGAGCATTGGCGAGTAAAAATTAAAACTTCGGGATGAGTTTCATAAAATTTTATATGACCTGGATAACAACAAGTTTAAGATACTTTTTATCATAAACTCAGAAAAAGTGACATTTTACAGATTCTAAAGTCTTAATGTGGATAACAATAAAACATAGGCAGCCATTTTGTTGTGCCATTTTAAGATTATGTCATTGTCCATAGTATGAAATTAAAATTGTTTTTTTACTTGATCAGCAAATGAAAAAACAGTTCATGTACATGTATATTTACACTAAGCGACAAACGCGTGAATATTTAATGGATGAATTCACGGGATAACATGTTAATCACGTGATAAATTTGTGTATACAACTTGCTTTTTACAGGCTATTTTCATCATTACACTTTGAATATAAATTAATATTAACATAATAACAGTGTTTATGTACAAATGTATTCATGTACATAACTCGATATTTACAAGTTCAGTTCATACAGGTAGCGCTATACATATCATTCTGTCATGATATGATCTACATACACGGTGTTATTATATATACAACGTCAACATCCAAAGTAAGACAACTATTTGAGCAGTAATGAGCGAGAAACCAGAGTCTATTGATTGCCGATATAACAATTCACCACTCGAGCCGAAAAGACGCTGCGGTCAGATGGCGAATCAATCGACTTGGACGGCAAAATACTCCATTTGTATTAAAAAACACAGTAGCTTGCATCACATACAGCACGATAGCCTATTGGGATTATTTCTAAAAACAAGACAAAATTATTTTTTGGTTGATACGCAATAACTAACTTGTTAACAGGTGATAACAACATAATAAAATCGCGTTAGTAATCTCGTTAAACGTGAAAATTATCTAGTTAAAAAGTTTAGTTATCTCGTTAACCATGATAATTATCTAGTTTAAACGCGTTAGTTATCTCGTTAACCATGATAACTATCTAGTTAAAACGCGTTAGTTATCTCGTTAACCATGATAACTATCTAGTTAAAACGCGTTAGTTATCTCGTTAACCATGATAATTATCTAGTTTAAACGCGTTAGTTATCTCGTTATCCATGATAACTATCTAGTTAAAACGCGTTAGTTATCTCGTTAACCATGATAACTATCTAGTTAAAACGCGTTAGTTATCTCGTTAACCATGATAATTATCTAGTTTAAACGCGTTAGTTATCTCGTTAACCATGATAACTATCTAGTTAAAACGCGTTAGTTATCTCGTTAACCATGATAACTATCTAGTTAAAACGCGTTAGTTATCTCGTTAACCATGATAATTATCTAGTTTAAACGCGTTAGTTATCTCGTTAACCATGATAACTATCTAGTTAAAACGCGTTAGTTATCTCGTTAACCATGATAATTATCTAGTTTAAACGCGTTAGTTATCTCGTTAACCATGATAATTATCTAGTTTAAACGCGTTAGTTATCTCGTTAACCATGATAATTATCTAGTTAAAACGCGTTAGTTATCTCGTTATCCATGATAATTATCTAGTTAAAACGCGTTAGCTAAATCGTTAAATGTGTTATCTCTTTTTATTTCATTTTAACTGTACACATCACTGTTAAGGTTATCATTATGAGGAAGCTTACCACACATACACATGAACATACAGGTTACTATGGAGACTATAAATACAGGTCATCTAATGTGAAGGTCGTTTTATAACGTAATAAAATAAGATCCTTGTCAACATCAGAACAAAGGATGAGGTACACAGGATTACATCTTATATATACCTTCTACCGGTATACATGACAACATTGGTTGTCATGGAAACATGTATCTACAATTAAAATTCACAATACAGATACATAGCTAATTATTAAAAATGAAACAGATTTTCAACCTAAAAGAGTTTGGAATTGTGTTAAAAAATAGAGAAATAAGGAACACAAAGTGACACTGGCGGTACATTCCACAGTTGTTGAGTTTCCGTGTTTTATCGTGTGATTGTTATCTGATGTTCGATATATTTTCAATAAAATGAGAGACTGTATTGAGATTTTGACGATAGCGTGAAATAGACATGCCTAAGACCGTGGAGAATAGTCATGTAACGGTTAGGTCTTTAACTCAGTGTTTTTGGTTTTTTTCTCACACTAGCGCCATCTGTCTCGACTTACTTCAGTCCACAGGTTACAGATAATAACGGATAATATATATCTACATGTATATAGCTTCATAAATCACACCTGCGAGTTACCACTTAAGTTTTTTTGTGATGAATCCTCTGTCATTGTGGATGCTCTAATGTTGGACTTTAATCCGTACCTAGTTATCTTGTATATCCTAATTTTATATCACTCTGTTGTATATGACGTGGCACTGCCTTCCTGTTTCACATTCAGCACCAGTGTTTTATCTCGAGGTCGTACCAGAAAATCTCAGAATGGTTGGTGGTGTTCCGTCTACAGGATCATAGCATACCTCTGGTGGTCAAAAGTCTACCATTTTTATGTCGGACATGACCACTGAATCATTCAATTGTTCTTCTACGTAATGAACCTTCGCTTGTTCCTTAACCACTTTATTCAGATATGTCCCTTTAAAGTTAATCAAATGGATTGATTTTGTAACCCTACTCTCCCCCTCTCCATATTATGATATGAATTAAAGAAATAATTCTATGCTAAGAAAGCGAGCGCAGTGAGAACAATAAAACATGTTTGACATCGTAAACGGTTGTCAATTACATAGATTTCATAAAGGTTTGTGTGTGTGTGTGTGTGTGTGTGTGTGTGTGTGTGTGTGTGTGTGTGTGTGTGTGTGTGTGTGTGTGTGTGTGTGTGTGTGAGTGTTTGTGTGTGTGTGTGTGTTTGTATGTGGGAGGGTGTATTTGTGTGTGTGTCTCTCTCTCCGTCTGCCTGTATGTCTGTCCCTCCCTCTTCTCTCTCTTCCTGTGTCTGTCTGTCTGTGTGTCTCTTTCTCTATGTCTCTCTCTCTATGTCTCTGTCTGTCTGTCTGTCTCCGTCTCTGTCTCTCTTTCTGTGTCTGTCCGTCTGTCTGCCAAACACAGACACCAATACACAAGGTGGAGAGGGGGGGGGCGACTACATATAATTTACTATAACTTTTATACCAGAAACACAGTAGATATATAGACCATTAGATTAACACACAATCATGTTTCCATATAGTCAACTGTCACTAAACCAACATTCAGTAATGCTATATTTAAAGTTATCTTATATATATAAGCACAGATGTAATTTAGTTCAATATTTTCAATTTTCGCTTCGTTTAATGCGAAACTAAAATTTAGCAAAATTATATACATAGTACATTATTAAAAAAAGTATTCGTAACAGAGAGCTCAATACAGTGTATCATACGTTATATACCATCCCGAGGGGTGGAAATGTAGGGTCATAAATAGCAACTGTAATTCAACAGTATACACCAGGCCATGCTGATCATAACTTCCAAGTGTTTATCTTGTATATTTCTCGTTCTAATACAAAGATAAAAATACAAAGGAGCCAGTTCTACCGACACAGATTAAGGAAAACCTCCTTTAACTGCATCTGAAAGTCTGGGTTCATAAAAGCGTAGATGAAAGGGTTGACGACGTTGTAAATGAAATACATATTGAATACCACTACGTTTATTTTTATAAGCCTCAGCTTCATCAGCCAGGCCGGTAGAAAGGCCACAATAAATACGAAAGCCACAAGAGACAGCATAATGGCCGTCTTTATATTATTCCTACGAATGCGTTCCTGTTTCTCGTGTCCTAGACTAAACTTGTCCCTGTTTCGCTCGCTACTCTCACTACGAACGAGTTGTCGCTGATTTTCAGCGTTGTGATTTTTATCTCGATCCTCTACCACCACTGAGGCGTCCTGGCTGAGGTACATCACCTCTGTGTTTTCACTCTCGTGGCCATTATGTGGCACCCGAAAAGTGCAACACGGAAACGATTCCATGCGCAGGCGTCGTTGTCGTCGCTTTAAAATGAATCTGTAGATGACAGAGTAAATTATGATCACAAGTATACACGATAATCCATAGAAACACGAGTAAATCTTCTGAAAAATCGAAAAAAATTCATCTCCCAATAACATGGCTGACTCCTGGCATTTAAAAGTATTGAACGGCTCCGACAACAGATCGTTTTTGTCATGGGCACTGAGTTCTCGGAGAAGTTCTAGCAGTTTAGCCTCCATATCTTTGTTCAGACCGGCGGCTGAGGACAAATTCCGATCTAACAGATTGTCATAAGTATTATCCGGATTCTGGTAGACACCATAATTTAGACACGACAGCATACCTAAACAGATGGACGTTATGCACAGGCTAGCCACAATAATCCACACTCTGTAATGCGTCATCACTTTAGCGAATGGTTTACAAATACAGAAATATCTGTCCACTGCGATAGCGACCATGACGAAAGCTGAGAATGGGATGGTTGTAGATACAAGGAAGTGATATATCTTACACACTATATCGAAACTGACAACGAAATCTAACACTTCCATAGCAATGGTAGACGGAATGGTTATGACACAGGTGATGAGATCGATTCCGGCCAAAGTCAGGATAAACAGGGAGGAAGTAAACTTCTGGCGACACCTGGTGAAGCCGTACAGAACTAAAATGTTTCCCACAGTTCCCACCAGGGCGAAGGCGGAGAGGAATACGATGGTGATGTAGCGCTCGTATTCCATCATGTTGAGGAGTGACGAACACCTGCATACAATTTAAAAAAATGTTAGCGTCAAGTTACATAACCAACATATATAGCTACTCAATATTTATCTAACTTCTAGTAATTCACATGTACGTTAAATTTAGATACATACACAAATTTAGATAAGACTTAAATAATCTATTAGATTTTTGACAACTTGACAAAAACAGTTGGTTTCTTTCGTAAACAATGAAGTCTAATTTGTAGCTTTTGGAATTTATAATATAATAATATAAAAATCATCTCAATTCAATAACAAAGGCTTTACCTTATATACAGAACTTGTATGGATCACGTGACCAGCTCCTGCGTACCTATGTTGTATAACACCTGTAAACAGGAAGACACAGAAGTAAATATCACATAAACAAGATACCTGTATAAGGGAAACAACTCGTACATGTAACAAATTTAACGCTCGTGGTGGTCACACCTGTGATGCTAACGATATGCATGTGTTTCATTCAGTTACATTTTCATCGTCAACTAGAAGATAACCTGATATCTTATCATTCGGGTATTTTTTTCATAAGGAAACTCATATTGAAAAAGATACGCGCATATAATTGCTCCAACTGGACTGATAGTATTTACCTGTCGTTAACGGTACTGATAGTATTTACCTGTCGTTCACGATACTGATATTATTTACCTGTCGTTCACGGTACTGATAGAATTTACCTGTCGTTCACGGTACTGATAGTTTACACCTGTCGTTCACGTTACTGATAGTTTACACCTGTCGTTCACGTTACTGATAGTTTTTACCTGTCGTTCACGGTACTGATAGTTTACACCTGTCGTTCACGGTACTGATAGTATTTACCTGTCGTTCACGGTACAGATAGTATTTACCTGTCGTTCACGGTACTGATAGTTTACACCTGTCGTTCACGTTACTGATAGTTTACACCTGTCGTTCACGTTACTGATAGTTTTTACCTGTCGTTCACGGTACTGATAGTTTACACCTGTCGTTCACGGTACTGATAGTATTTACCTGTCGTTCACGGTACAGATAGTATTTACCTGTCGTTCACGGTACTGATAGTTTACACCTGTCGTTCACGTTACTGATAGTTTACACCTGTCGTTCACGTTACTGATAGTATTTACCTGTCGTTCACGGTACAGATAGTATTTACCTGTCGTTCACGGTACTGATAGTATTTACCTGTCGTTAACGGTACTGATAGTTTACACCTGTCGTTCACGGTACAGATAGTTTACACCTGTCGTTAACGGTACTGATAGTATTTACCTGTCGTTCACGATACTGATATTATTTACCTGTCGTTCACGGTACTGATAGAATTTACCTGTCGTTCGCGGTACTGATAGTTTACACCTGTCGTTCACGGTACTGATAGTATTTACCTGTCGTTCACGTTACTGATAGTATTTACCTGTCGTTCACGTTACTGATAGTTTACACCTGTCGTTCACGTTACAGATAGTTTACACTTGTCGTTCACGTTACTGATAGTATTTATCTGTCGTTCACGGTACTGATAGTATTTACCTGTCGTTCACGGTACTGATAGTATTTACCTGTCGTTCACGGTACTGATAGTATTTACCTGTCGTTCACGATACTGATATTATTTACCTGTCGTTCACGGTACTGATAGAATTTACCTGTCGTTCGCGGTACTGATAGTTTACACCTGTCGTTCACGGTACTGATAGTATTTACCTGTCGTTCACGTTACTGATAGTATTTACCTGTCGTTCACGTTACTGATAGTTTACACCTGTCGTTCACGTTACAGATAGTTTACACTTGTCGTTCACGTTACTGATAGTATTTACCTGTCGTTCACGGTACTGATAGTATTTACCTGTCGTTCACGGTACTGATAGTATTTACCTGTCGTTCACGGTACTGATAGTATTTACCTGTCGTTCACGGTACTGATAGTATTTACCTGTCATTAACGGTACTGATAGTTTACACCTGTCGTTCACGGTACAGATAGTTTACACCTGTCGTTCACGGTACAGATAGTTTACACTTGTCGTTCACGGTACTGATAGTATTTACCTGTCGTTAACGGTACTGATAGTTTACACCTGTCGTTCACGGTACAGATAGTTTACACCTGTCGTTCACGGTACTGATAGTATTTACCTGTCGTTCACGGTACTGATATTATTTACCTGTCGTTCACGGTACTGATAGTTTACACCTGTCGTTCACGTTACTGATATTATTTACCTGTCGTTCAAGTTACTGATAGTTTACACCTGTCGTTCACGTTACTGATATTATTTACCTGTCGTTCACGTTACTGATAGTTTACACCTGTCGTTCACGTTACTGATAGTTTACACCTGTCGTTCACGGTACTGATAGTTTACACCTGTCGTTCACGGTACTGATAGTATTTACCTGTCGTTAACGGTACTGATAGTATTTACCTGTCGTTCACGATACTGATATTATTTACCTGTCGTTCACGGTACTGATAGAATTTACCTGTCGTTCACGGTACTGATAGTTTACACCTGTCGTTCACGTTACTGATAGTTTACACCTGTCGTTCACGTTACTGATATTATTTACCTGTCGTTCACGTTACTGATAGTTTACACCTGTCGTTCACGTTACTGATAGTTTACACCTGTCGTTCACGTTACTGATAGTTTACACCTGTCGTTCACGGTACTGATAGTTTACACCTGTCGTTCACGGTACTGATAGTTTACACCTGTCGTTCACGTTACTGATATTTTACACCTGTCGTTCACGTTACTGATAGTTTACACCTGTCGTTCACGGTACTGATAGTATTTACCTGTCGTTCACGTTACTGATAGTATTTACCTGTCGTTCACGTTACTGATAGTATTTACCTGTCGTTCACGGTACTCATAGTTTACACCTGTCGTTCACGGTACTGATAGTATTGACAAATTGACGACATCCCAATTTTGTTATTTCATGTTGAGTTATGGCTTGTTTTCGTAACATGGCTGCGAAATGACTAAGTAGCGGGGGCGAAACGACAAAGATTATCAGTCTGTCCGTGTGAGAAAACAAAGCAACAAAATGGCAGAAATCACCCACTATATGTAGAAATTGCCAATGTTTTTTGTAGTATCAACCTTTCTCACGGCACTTAACCCTAGTGTCAATCGAGTTACACTGGAATAGTCACTGCCGAGTAGATTGCATACACGTCATCGTTACTATAGTAACCACCCATGTTACAATTTACCAATTCTCAGGGTTTTTATTTCTACAATAAAACGAATTATCCTGAAATATTTCAACTCCAACGATCGCTTGATTAAAAGGACATAGCTACAGAAGTTACCGAAAGGTTAGATAGGATTGTAGTAATACGAAAATGCGGAAGATAAGGTAAAACGAAACGAAAGGTTGGAAGAAACACTTCACAACAGACAAGCTTGCTAGGGGATGCATCTTAATTCAACTCCGGAAAGAAATGATAATGATAAATCACACAAAATACCAAATGTGTCATAAATTTTAACTATTTCACCTCTTTGAATAATTAAAAATGTTTTCTGTCGAGTTTATGCAAATAACTATTTTCAAAACGAGCAAGGTATTCACTTTTTCGCAAGTTTCAATTTTTATCTTTCCGCAATCTTTTGGGAGTTATTTCCCTTGGTACACGTGGCGTACCGATTGATTCCCCGTTTTCCGTATTCAGGAAATCGTCATGTAAATGGTTCATTCGTTCGTATTTTGCTCTGGCAAATTGGAGTTTGAATTAAAGATCTCTTGAAGTGTTGGTATTTTCTTTATTTATCATCAGATGGTGGGCTATTCAGATCGCTCTGCGGCTCTAGTCTGTAGTCCATCCGTCCGTCCGTCCGTAAATAATTTTTGTTATTGCTATTTCTTGAGAAGTCCTTCATAGATCTTTCTCAAATTGCATATGTAGCTTCCCCTTGGTCCCTATTTGTGTCCGTTTGATTTTGGGACTGATCAAAAGAACAAACTGAACTACAGGCAGCCATCTAGGATATTTTTGATGAAGTTTGTTATCGCTATTTTTCAAAAAGTAAAAAATGGATCTTTCTCAAATTTCATATGTAGGTTTCCCCTGGTCTCTTATTGTGCACATGTAATTTTGGAACTGATCGGGAAAACACAATGGCCGAAAGGCGGCCATCTTTGATGTTGACTTTAAAAGTCTGTTATCGTTATTTCTTGCGAAATACTTGATGGATCTTTCTAAGATTTCATATGTAGGTTCCCCTTGGGTCCTAGCTGTGCCAGTTTGATTTTGATCAGAAAAAACAAAATAGCCGACAAACGGCCATCTTTGATTTTGTTATCGCTATTTCTCAAGAAGTACAGGATGAATCTCTCTCAATTTTCATATGTATGTTCCCCTTTGTCCTTCGTTGTGCCCATTTAACTTTTGGTCTGATTAGAGAAACAGAATATTTATCCATTTTTCTTGAGAATAACTGTATAGATCTTTCTCAAATTTCATGTATAGAGTTATTTAGGTCCCTAGGTGTGACTTTCTGAGTTTGGGACTGATCAGAAAAAAATGGCCGACAGGCAGCCATCTTGGATTTCGCTCAGTAAAGATTGATATCTCCATTTCTTAAGTACTGAATGGATATCTCTCAAATTTCATACGTATGTTCCCTTTGATTTCTCCTTGTGCTCGTTTGCTTTTAGGACTGATCAGAAGAAACAAAATGACTTCCAAGTGGCCATTTTTTTATTTGGCAGGTAAAGATTATCATTTATTTCTGCAAAGGAATGTTCAAATATCTTATCATTAAGAGCAAAAACAGAGAAGGGAAATGAGGAAAAAGATCCAACTTTCACAGAGCATATAAAGATCAAACAATGGTGGGCGCCAACCTCCATCTGGAACCTCTTATAAACATCCCTCTGGGATCTCTTATAAAGGTCAAACAATGGTGGGCGCCAACATCCCTCTAGGATCTCTTTTAAAAATCAAACAATGGTAGGCGCCAACATCC